AACAGACAGATAAAAAGGTAGATAACGAAGACAGAGTCAGAGAAGACACACTAAATGTAAGTAGGAAAATAGATGGATAGTCTTTTAAAAGGATGGATAAAAATTGGGATAGACAGACAGACAGATCCTTATGGATGGATGGTTGGATGGAGAGAGAGAGAAGGAAGGAAAGAAAGGAAGGAAGGAAAAGAAAGAAAGAAAGAAAGAAAGAAAGAAAGAAAGAAAGAAAGAAAGAAAGAAAGAAAGAAAGAAAGAGAAAGAAAGTTCAAGAACTATGCTGATGGCTTAGAAGATGTCTCAGGATTACCAGACATATACAAAGCGTCAAAGTCCTACAATATATAATATATTCCCTGACATTTTCAACATGCCCCCTTTCCTAAAGAAATGGGAGCCAAAAGACATTCACAGCCTTCAAAGAAAAGAATAGAAAGAAGTGGTTAAATTTTTTTATTCAACAAATTATATTAAGAATACAGACTAAATTCTCAAGACGGGAGCTTCCCTTTGTAAAATACAAAGTAGGCCATCTAAAATAAATATGAAAGGGTAATATTAATAGGATTAATGGACACGTTTAATCCACTTTCAATATCCCATCACGAAGAAAATGCATAGCATCTTTAAGAAAAAGAATATTACATTCATACCTACACACGCATACAAACACAGTTTAAAAAAATGCCCAGATGCTTAACAATACTCGTTTTTGAAGTAAATGGCATAGAGATGTTTTAATCCATGAATTTCATAGGGTGTTGCATTACTGTTGCATTTATGTCATTTTCTGTGACCTCAAGGGAACCCCATGTTTATATTTCTTTAAAAGGCAAAACCTACAGGGCCTTTAACCTAAACAAGCCCCCTCTTTCAAAATATAATTCCACACAACAAATACTTAATCCAGTTCACACACACACTCACACAAAAATACACCACAAATTTAACCTATTTTGAACCAACCAGCTGCCCTAAATTTATCAGTGTGTAAAACACCCGTTTTAGGGAGTCTCGTGGATTTCCCCAATCGTAACAGGTTTTTTTTTTTCTGTTTTAGGGGAACAGACAGAAAATAACACACCCATTTTTCATTTGTGCAATGTAGACTCCCAACCATGTGTGTGTTGTGTGTGTGTGCGTTCACACATATATTCCATCTGTGTGAATATAAAACCCAACAAAAGCTGCACAAACAGGCCGTCTGGTTTCCAGGAACAATCTACAAATCTTTTGTCTCCCCTCAGTGGTGGTGAGTGGAATAAGAACAGTACACAAGTTGCATCCACTGATATGATGGGATTGTGTGGAGATGTGGACAAAAAAAGAAATATCTCTACAATTGTAGCATGCAATTGTTACCTGTGATGCACAACTGCTTTGTCCTGGGCAAAGTCTTTTGCCAGGAAAGATGACCTTGCTTGAAAAAAAAGTTCTTCAGTGTTGCGTTGTCAAAACAACACACCACCAACCTCTAGTAGGAGGAAGTAGAAATGGAATGTGCTTCTTCCCACTCATTGATGGCCTTCAAACTCTTCATGTGCTCTCAACTCTAGCCAATGGCTAAGGAAGGACAAGGAGAGTTGGGTCTTCAAACTTGACCGCTTTAAGACTTGTGGACTTCAACTCTCAGAATTCCTCCTCCAGTCATGTTAGCTGAGGAATTCTGGGAGTTGAAGTCCACAAGTCTTAAACTTGCCAAGTTTGAAGATCCTTGAGTCTAACAGAAACAAGCATGGAAAGTTAACAAAAGCCACCCCAAATGCTATTAAGAGCAACAGAAACTCCTGATGACCTTTGTTGTAAGACCAACATCAGGGGAAATAAAAAAAGAGAGAGATGTAGATTCATTTGTAGGTAATTTTTCCAGCACGGAGAGAACAGGGATGACTTCTCTAATTCCACTTCCCTATTTTCTCTGAACTCAAGAATAAAATTTGGCCTCGTTAACTTGACACCTACCAATTCTGCTTCCTTCCTTCCACCATTTCTGACTGTGAGCAGAAGCAATGATTCTTGTGTAAAAACATCGCCTTCCTTTCATAGGGTGGGGAGAGAGAAACAAAACTTTTCTTCTGAAGTTGGCTTCAGCTCTGTCTGATTCTACCAATCTCTGCCTGGAAATGAGAGGCTCGTATCTGTGTTATCTAAAGAGAAATATATGGGAAAGGGGTGGGAACAAGGTAAAAGACTACAGACTGGCATAAAAACATCCAGAACTATATGTATACGTCCCAAATATAGAAATAAACACTAACCTATCAGTACTGTTGGGAGGTCAAATGCTATGTTAAAAAAACTGATGTTACAGAAGAATTAAGTTCCATATATTTAAAGAAGATGCAATGATAACCCTGGTATGTTTTGTACTTAAGCCTTCCTTTCTAAAAATTTAAATTGCATTCTATCCATTGGATGAGTAGGGGAGGCGAAGCAGCGCCAAGAAGGGTTGGGTGGAAGCCGACTGGAATTTTAGAACTTCATCAGAACATGCATTTTTTGTCACGGTCTCCTCATCAGATAAGGGGAGAGAGGAAGAATTCAAACCCTGCATCAGAATATTGAAAGATACCAACTGCAAACAGGGACTCCCTTCTCTGCCCAAGGAGGCAATTCTGGTGCAATTGTAACCTTGAATCCAAAGCTGCTTCATGGGCTCTTAAGAGCATGGAAAGGTAGAAGGTGCCATTTTGGCTTCTCTTTATATCCAGGTGCATCGGTTGGGTTAGATTTTTTCCCCCTCCTCTTACAGGAAGCAACTGCTGGCAACTTTCCTCTTGGGAGTCCATCCAATATGATGGTGACTTCCTCCTCTACCTTTCCAGGTGTTAAGGACCCAGGGCATTGCTTTGAATCAAAAGCCAGACGATGAATTCAGATTCATTTAAATTTATACCAGCGGCACTTCTCCAAAATTTGAGACAGGGAAATCTCTTTGCTACCTTAGGGCCACCTCCTCATGGAAGGAAACCATCTAGCAAGACAGAATAATTCAGAGATTAAGATGTTCTGATTGAGGGGATTAAAAAATGGCTGGCCTGAACTGCTTCCACACCCTTCCAGGATCCAAAGATAGGATATCTCTAAAATAAATAAGAATGGCTTTCCAAATCAATTTCATTCGGCCAGACTTTTTCAGACTCGGTCAAATTCCTCAACCAGATTCAATTCACGTACTCCGGCCATCAAATTAGCTCTCTCTACTCTGTTAACCGGAAAACTCCTTTCACTCTCTCTTCATCCCAGATCTGTCTGTTTTTCTTGAGATGCTTTGCCTCACTTCAAGACTTACTCAAAGATCAAATCATTGCCTCAGTTTACCTTACTGGTTTCCAAAATACCTCCAGGCACCATCTAAAGCAGGGGCTCCTTTTTAATGCCTTCATGATTTTCCTCTGCTTGTGGGGCAGAGAAAGGCAGTTTGGAGGCTGGCAGTGGACCATGGAAACTGAAAAGCTTTGGCAAAACCAAAAGAGATGGTAAAGAAATCAAGACTTAAATTGCTACGAGGAAGGTTGAACAGCTGGATTGGATTGCGCTGCAGAGCTATCGTCCAAACAATTTTCCAGAAATCTAGGTTTGCTCTTTCTTGAAAAGTGCAATTTATAAACTTCTGGGGGGAAGGACTGGGAAGGCATATCTGTTTTATGCAGTACGACTGCCCCTCTTTGCCATGAATAAACTACTCCAGAATAAGCTAAATGAACCCCAGGAGCAGTTGGGGTCCATGACCAGGGCAATTGCATTATTAATACCATTAGAGAAATTAGTATTTATTTACATGTGACATGCTGGAACGTTTCCACCTGGTTTTCTTTTTTTTAAATAAAAGAAACCAATGAAAAGGGGAAGGAAGAATCTCTTCTCCTTTTTTGTCTGTACAACACAGCATTTGTTCTCTGGCACCCAAATCACACACACACACATACATACACACAAAAAAAGCAGCAAGGAAGTTCACACAGGTTTCCCTAAATAACGTAAGCTTCGGTGACAAGTTGCATCAGGGTGTATATTCTGGAGTCATGGGCTGGAGCTTACATTAGACTGGCCTCAGTACGAATGGAAGTCTCGGTTTCTTTTTCCAAGATCGCCAAAGGAACACATCGTGGTCTGTTTCACCTTAAGCAGGCCGGTTAGATGGACAGGTCCTCTGGCTGCTAAATTGAACTATTTGTAACAGAGGAAGGGGTCCAACGCTCGTGCAGAAAGACCCCGGAGGTTTCTTGGACCTTCCAGACAAAATCCTGAACTAGACTCTTTTTGCTAAAAAGATCAGATATAAATCACATGTTGTTTCTTTTTAAAGGCTCAGAAATGAAGTTGCCCATCCATGAAAAATATAGCTTTTGTCGTCCACCTAGGCAAAGGATTCAGAGAACACTTTCCAAAAACCCGACGTCCGTTTCAGGCCATACACTTGAAGCAGCTCTGAACCACAAAGGATGGCATGCATTGCACGGAGGTGGTGCGTTGTACGGTAAAAGTGACACAAAACCCCTTTAGAAACCAGCGCTGAAGAAAAAGTGACGCCCCTGGTGAGATATAGGATGGCCCTTCATAGCTCTGATCAGCTGAGGAACGTCAGAGAAAGCCAGCCGGGTGTAACAGACAACAGCTAAAAAAAGAATATTCTTCTGGTTTAAGAAGAAGAAAAAAGTCTATCCCTTCTACTAAACCAGGGTTTAAGTAGAAGACACTTCGGCTGAGTTGGAGCAGCTCTTCAGAGGGAATCAATGATCAAACCTCACCCACACAGACCAAAAAACCCCCACAATAAATAAAAACGGACCGACAGAAATCCTCCACGGAAATCTAGGTCTCTTCAGTCATGACGGGCGGGGATGATCCTGGGGGAACCTGCAGAGTTAGGGCTGTTGGACTCAAGGAGCTGAGTCAGGATTTGCCAACCAGCAAGGACAAGTTGGTATATATATATATAAAAAAAAGAGAGAGAAAGAGAGAGAGAGAGAGAGAGGGAGGGAGGGAGGGAGAGAGAGAGAAATGCTATCCAGTTGTTTTGTATAAAGGAGGATGGGGGAGAGACAAAAATTGAGGCTTCCTGTGTCTTTTCCTGGAAGGGCCTCCGTTAATACTGCTCGTCAGGGATGGGAAGGGTTGGTGGGGGAGGGAAGGTTACAAAGCGAGGAAGAGGAGGAGGAAGAAAATCCTTTCGCTGCTCAGTAGTACGTGTGCATTTTCACTCCAAGGAGTTGAGAGATTTCAGGAAGGGGGATACTGCTGGCATCTGGTGGGGCTGGGAGGCAGTCTGGCCGCAGCACTCTGCTCTGTCCGGAAGCTGTAGTCATACTGCAGGAGACAAAAAGCCAGAGGTGAACGACTGGGCAGCCAGGAACAACCAAACAACGCACCGTCGTCGAACTCATCCATCCAGAGCCCTCAACTGGTTCAAAGAGGTTGGTCCCCTCTTCTTTGTGGCAGCCCTTCCAATATCTGAGGGGCTGACCCAAAGAAGAGGGAGTCAAGCTATTCTCCAAAGCACCTTCAGAAGGCAGGACAAGAAGCAACGGATGGAAACTGATCAAGGAGAGAAGCAACCCAGAATTAAACTTCCTAACAGTGAGGACAATTGATCAATGGAACGGCTTCTCTTCAGAGGTTGTAGGTGCTTCATCACTGGAGGCTTTCCAGAAGAGACCGGAAAGCCATTTGTCTGGAATGGGATAGGGTCTCCTGCTTGAGCAGGGGGTTGGACTAGAAGACCTCCAAGGTCCCTCGTTATTATGTTAAATTGTCCTACTTCAGACACATTGCGAAGGCCCAGCTGTTTGGGGAAGGTCTGGGAACGGTAGAAGAGGATGGGAAGCAGCAAGGGGGAGAGGCTCAGCTACAAGGCGATGAGTGTAAACTTGGAAGGACACCGGACATTAGGGACAGAACATCTTGTCTATCTATGAGAGTCAACATTGACTTCTTGGCGCACAGTCAATCAATCCAGCAATTTTACCTGGGTAAGTCGAACAATTCCTAGAGAGGCTCCTAATGCCGGGAAAGAACCGAGCTCAGTACCAAGGACTCCACATTTCAAGGTGGAGGTGGAAGGACTGAAGGTCATCTTGGAGAAAATCCATCCAGGTAACCACCTTTGGTGCCAACCTGATGGCAGAATAACGCAAGGGCGTTCACACTTGACAGCTTGAAGACTTGAGGACTTCAACTCCCAGAATTCCAGAGCAAACATGGCTGGAGGAAGAGGAATTCTGGGAGTTGAAGTCCACAAGTCTTCAAGCTGTCAAGTTTGAAGGCCCCTGCGAAGAACCTATCGCCCTATTCCAGCTCAAAGGCACATAATCAACCAACCAATCAGAGAAAAGGGTCGCACACTTGCAAACTTTTCATCCAAGTCGAAAAGGCAGTGCAAAGTGAACGTGGCAAGGGCGCCGCCTGGTGGTCCAAGTGCAGCAGCGGACCAAGCAAAAATAACCTGCCTTGCTAGGACAAACAGCGCAGGGGAGCAGGCAATAAATCCATTTTAACGTCTTGGGATGAAATGATTGACTGATGCTATCCATTCTCTTATTCTTCCCCTGCCCCCACCCCACCCCCTGTAACTTAATAATCATCAGGATGGAGTAGAGGGCGTTTAAATTCTGTCTACTCGTTTACTCAGGGGTACCTTAATGCAACTATCAAACCTCCAAAATCCTTAGTTATAGAAGGTTTTCCTTAGCTTTTTTCTCTCGTCTACCTTTACTTTCTTTTCCCTTACCCTTCTAACCTCTCTCTCTTTTCTTCCCTTCCCCACTCTCTCCCTCCTTCACTCTCTTCCTCTTCCTTCCTCTCCTCTTTTTTTCCCTCTAATCCTTCCTCCCTTTTACCTCCTCCCCCCCTCCCTCCCTCCTTCCCATCTCCCTCTTTCCTTTCTTCCCTCCTTCCCCTCGTCTTCTCCTTCCCCCCCTTCTCTCTCTTCTTTCTTCCTTCTCTCTCTCTCTCACCTCCCTCCTTCTTCCCTATACCATTATTCTTTCGCTCCTCCCAATGCAATCACTGATGAGACTACTAGATGGCACTGCGCGATCATAAATGAATGTTAGGGGTTCTTATTCCCTCCCCTCCTCCTTATACTTCAAAAGAAAATTATAACTGATACCTAGTTGTCCCTGAAACAAAAGAAAGATAGAGGGCAGCAGAAGAGAAGAGATTGAGCAATTTCTGTTCTTTTTAAAACCTTCCTTCAGACAGACACGGGGTTGTTTGCTGCTAAGTTTATCAAGGAAATGAGGATCCGTTTGCAAACTGCTTTGCAAAGATACACAGTACAGGAAGGACTCGGGGGCATCCATTTGCCAGCCCCTTCTCTCCAAGAAATAAAAATCAGGAGACAACCGGGAGCGTTTCTACAAAATCCTTTGTAAGATCTTTTTTTTTTTTTTTTTAAATCAAACCGAGAGCCCACGTCGCTGTTAATTTCATGCCAGCACCACGAAGCAGCCCGTGGCACGGGCCCAGAGCGAATGGAAACCCCGCGAGCCATTTTTCAAACACGCCAAGGCATAAAGATGTCAGCTCAAACTGTTTACTAATTAACACTTAAAAAGACACAAATTAGATATGCGCGGGTAAGAGCAATTATAATCAAGACCGATCTCTTCAGTCATTGGGGGGATAAAGGGGGGGGGAGGGGAAGATAACCCAAATTCTCAACTCAAAGATATTGAGAGGGGGGGGGGGGGGGGGGGGGAAAAAAATCCCTCTGAAATGTTGCTAGTTAGCAAATATATTTCACTTAAAGACCATTACGTTAGACTACGCTCTAGAGGGCTGCCTGCTAGAGGAAAGCGGTGGAGGGAGGAAGAGATTTTGGAAATCAACACGCAGCATCCCAGAAGATCTGAATCAAATTACATAGAACATAGAATCCTATGGCTGGGAGGGACCTTCGAGGTCTTCTAGCCCACCCCGCTGCTCAAGCAGGAGACCCTATTCTATTCCAGACAAACGGCTGCGTTGGAGCATCCACGACTTCTGGAGGCAAGTTGTTCCGCTGATTAATTGTTCTCACCTTCAGGAAATCTCTCCTTCGTTCTAGGCTGGATCTCTCCGACTAGTTCAGGTTCTTTGCCTCTCAGTTCTGGTGGTTTCATTCCGAGATTTCTGACTAGAGCAGGGGTGTCGAATGCAAGGCCTGTGGTCGGATCTGGCCTGCAGAACTATCCTGGAAAATGTAAGGCTCTGGCCCGCATCGCTTTGGCCCAGTCTACCCAATGCCAAGAGGAAACATGCCAACTGTCAGGGTTCCGACACACGCCCTAATTTGGGGCAGTGGTGTCAAGCTGGCCATGCCTACCCTATTGGCCACACCCACCCAGTTCTCCACCCCTCCTAAGGGTCAACCACAGCCCTGATGTGGCCCTCAATGACATCCCTGGACTAGAGTATGGCAGGAAAAAAAAACCCTCACCTCTTTTTCAATTTCAGCCAGAGATTTGATCGTGATTCCCAGGAGGTCTACCGGCTGCATCTAAACAGGAAAAGACAGAAATGTGCCACTCAAATCTTAAGAATCCAACCCAGCCTTTCCTGTCTCTGTTGGCAGGGTCGGCTGGACTAACACTCCCATCTCTCCCCCCCGCCCCCCGCTCCAAGGTCATGGGAACGGTAGTCCAGGATCGGGAAGCGGTATGGTGGTACCCAATGGCAAAAGGGATGCGGTCCATTGCTTGGAGATAGAACTGGGGCTTCAGTGAGGGACAGCAGGCAGGGGAGGGAAGCCACCTATCGTCATGCACCTCATTGCCAAGTGGGAGCAAAGAGAGGCATCATCAGGCCAGCATCTCAGCTTGGGAAGTGACCGAGCATCCTAAGAAGTGGATGTTCCTTTCAAGGACACCCAAGAAGATTCAAGGAGGGGTGGACGAAGACAACACAGAGATTACAAAGTGACAGCCGAGCTCACCCGCCCAAGGCATTCAACTTCAGGGCTTTCCAAAATTTCAAGGTGCAATTTTCTGCAGAGCTTTTGGAAGGTGAGGGAGCACGGAGGACTTGAAGCAACGGATGAGACTATGGATTTTGGAGTATTTGAACGGGTGATGTTCTTCAATGGTTACGTGCCAGGAGTTTAAGTATGTAACTCCAGAGGACTATTACACGGATAAATGAATAAATATGTGAAACTCACCCCTTCTGAAGCACAGGCAAACTTCTCTGAGATCATAAAAGGCACACCTTCCATTGCTGCAAAAAAAAAAAAAAAAACACAACCCACAAAGAACGGAGGTTAAGATAATTGAGGTGTCTTTGTATCTCTACAGCCCCCAAAGTAAGGGGCGCGATGGCTCAGTAGTTAAAGACACTGAGCTTGTCAGTTGGAAAGCTGGCAGCCCACCTTCCAGACCCAGGTGCTGCACAACAGGGTGAGCTCCCGTTCCTCGCTCCAGCTCCTGCCAAGCTAGTAGTTCAAAAGCACAACAATGAGAGTAGATAAATAGGTACCACTTTGGCAGGAAGGTAGTCTTCCATGTGCCTTTGGCGTATAGCCATGCTACCCACATGACCATGGACAATGTCTTCAGACAATGACAGCTCCCTCGGCCAAGAAACGGAGATAAGCACCGCACCTTAGAGTTGGACACGACTGGACAAGGAAACCTTTGCTTAGGTTCATCCACTAAAATAATGAACTTGGTTGTGAATCACGTGTAAGTGTACTCATTAAATCTTTGGATGACTTTTTCTCCTTCTGCCTCAGCCTCGTTTACCCAACTGGGCCCTAAGGGAGATCAAATGAAGAGAAGACCAGGCCATGAAGTCCTAAGTTTCTGCAACGGAGAAACGGAGGAGCCACCAAGATTGGGAACAAATGCGCAGCAGCTGGAAAGCAAGCAATCTGTCCAAATGCTTCAACGCTGCCATGTGGGCTCCTTGGAGCAAATGAGCTTCCACAGAGCTGCAATTAAGCAGACCTGTAATTAAGGAGATGCCCTTTTCTCAGAATGATTGCACTTAAAAGAAATGGCAGAAGAGCACACAATGGAGTCTGTTATTAATGCCAACGAGACGTGAACACGGCGGGCTGAGAGATTCAGCCCCCATCCAGGGCTGTCGCCACGAGATTATTTATAAAATCGGTTCGTGGGGAGCATCTGAAACGGGTGGGCTAGAGGGAAGGATGGAGAGATTTTGAGGGACAGAGGTGCCTTCAACCTAAGCAGCTTGTCAAGACGAGTCGTAATGCCTTTCTGTCCCAAAGTTGGATTCTAACGGCGGAATTCCAGTTTCTGCCTTTCCTTGGTCAAAGATGGGAAGAACGTTCTTCTCTTCCATCCACAGCAAACTCCTCATCTCTTACAACTGCTAGATCAAACCTCACACATCCATCAGCTCTACCATGTTTTAACAAGTGCATCAAGGTTAGCTCTTTGCATGGCATGCCCAGCTTTTAAACCATACATGAGAGGCCACATTTGCAGGTTTATCCCGCTTTCAGCCATAACGTGGTTCAACACAGACTCATCGTGTTATGGGAAGGCCTATCGCTCAGGGGAAGGTTCTAATCTGGGAAAGGTGGAAGGAAAAAGAAGGATGACTGAAAGGTGGAGGATCTCAGCCACAGTGGCAATTGGCGCAACGTAGGGACGCCCAAAGGGTCAGGTGAGGAACAGATCCTCCCGAAGAAGATCTGGCAATCTGGTTGCTAAGAGCACATAATCAACTTTCTATCCAAGAAAGCCATATAATACCTGAAGAAACCCATTGACCTAGGAGGAGGAAGGCGAAGAGGTCAACCAGCAACAACAACTCAGTGATGAGTATATGTGAAGGAGCAGGTGGAAGACAGAACATCATGGAGAAAATCCATCTAGGTGGTTGCTAAGGCTCCGTACCGACTTGACGGTGCCTAATCAATCAATCAGGTTATGTAAACCCAGGTTTTGTCTCCCCTAGTCAATCCTGACGGTACCTAATCAATCAACCAGGTTGTGCGAAGCCAGCTCCCGCCTTCCCCTGTCAATCTTCCTCTACAGGAGAGGAACACAACCTTCTGGCATGAGTGCCAGACACCCCCCAACCCCGTATTAAGCGCCCTCGACATCTGAAGGGGCTTCTTGATTCTCCTCTCTCTGGGGTAGCAAATACGATTGAATATGGTCCTAAATTTAAGTGCCCGCTCCATTCTCCTCCTCCTCCGAGATGCCGACTAAATAGGCTAAATAGAAATGAGTCGCGCATGAGGACTGAGAATTTGAAACGGAGCAGAAAAACATCCTCCCCAGCATAATCACTGCTTGTTTCTTTGAAGGCACAACACAATGGGCGTCAGAAACAAGTGGAAATCTAAGTACTAATTGCCGCTATTCTTTCCCTCCGCCAAGCATCTCCTGGGGGTTTTATGGAAACACACTCCATTGTTCTTTCTGAACCATTGAAATATCAGGTGGTGTCTTCCCATCAATGCCAATAATAGAAGGAAAGAACTTTCTGCCGCCGAGAGCGCAACGTGCGCGAGGCGAGTTTTCCGACCGAACAAATGAAGGGAGGCAGAGAGGTTTTAAATATGGCTGTCAGGAAGCATTAGGGTTCCTGCCAGGCGCTTGCTGGCAGCTTCGGAGGGGCTGAGAAACCCCATCTCCACAGCCTCTGGGTGGAAGGCTTGCCGTAGGGGCTTCGTCCTGATCAACCCTTCCGAAAAAGGGATCCTCCTGAAGGCAAACTTGGCCAGCCATCCCTCGTGATGCCAATCAAAGCCAAGGTCATCCTTTTTGGGGGAGGCGGGGCGAGAAATAAAGTAAGAGAACGGTTTGGTTCTCTCACCTCTCTCCAAAGTTCCTCTAGAAGGGCTGAGAACGTTGGCCGTGTCCCCTCCAGTCGCTCTCAAACCCCTTGCAAGCTTCAAGGTGGAGGCCAAGTTCTTGCAGGCTTTTCATTACCCAGCTAGGTAACATCATCAGTGCTAGAAGGAACTGGGGTGTGTGGAGAGGAGGAGGATTGTGGGGTCTTTGTTGCTCTCTGAGTTTGGTGGTTTTCTTGCAGGCGTTTCATTACCCAGCTAGGTAACATCATCAGTGCTACCAGTGATGTTACCTAGTTGGGTAATGGAACGTCTGCAAGAAAACAACTGAGCTCAGAGCTATTGTAGATAAACAGGGAGCAAGCCCCACTTACTAGCACTGATGATGTTACCTAGCTGGGTAATGAAATGTCTCCGAAAAAAACACCATCCAGCTCCGAGAGCAACAAGGACCCCACAGTTCAATCCTGAGCTACAAATATCCTCTTCTGTCTGTTCTGAATCCATTTTGCCACTAGCACCCCTCACTCCAGATTGGCTGAATCACAACGCAGGCAATCCGTGACTTGCATCCGTTTGTTGAGTGACCAGAGACACAATGTCCCTGAGATGAATGACTCACGGCCGGTACTTGCACTGCCAAGCAGTGTAGCATCCCCCACAGTCACGTGATCAAAATTGGGAGTACTTAGCAACTGGCATGTACTTTTGACAGTTGCAGCATCTCAGGGACATTGTGGCTTTCCCCAAGCTGACTTATCACAAGCAATGGGAGAAACCAGGTCCACTTAATGACAGCAGTGATTTGTTTAACAATCATGGCGAAAAAAGATCGCAAAATCTTGACACGACGCAATTTTAACGATGGGAGCGCTTAGCAATGTTCATTGCATTTGTGGTCTTAAGTCGAGGCCACCGTAATTCAGTGAGCCCCAAATCCTGATGCCAGGTCCTAACTCAGGGCCAGTGTCAGATCTCACCCCTCTTCCAGCCTGTTTCGTTTTTGTTCTGAAACCTCTTCGGTGGGAAACTCCCAAGGCCAAAAACCCTGCAGAACCTGGCCAAGCTATTATTTAGTCAAATTAATTACTCCTCTTTCCTCGTCAAGTGGTTTGTCACTACGACTTATTAATGACTTGACAGGCTTCCCATGAACTGCCAAACACCGAAAACACTGCCCCCCCCCACGACTTTATTGTCATTTAATTTAAGAAATGATCCTGATGTGTGAAATTATCTCGTCGCGACGGAGTGGAAGCTACGTGAGAGTATAGAAAGCGAGTATAGAGCCACTGATAGGCAGATCCTCCAAGACTCGCTTCTTTTTCTGAGGTCATTCACACCGGTGACCGTTCCCACTTCCGAGAGCAGCAAATTCCAGTTTAACTCAGCCCCAAGTTTTGCAGAAGGAAAAATAACTTGATGACCCTTACGGCACTGGACTCCAAGTTCCACAATTCTCAGTTCCTGGAAGTTTCCCTTCAACAGGTGTGGAGAAACATGCAAAGGAAGGTTGATCTATTCCCTCCCCCCCCCCCCCCTTTTTCCCCCCCTTCCGGGTCTCCTTCTGTCTCTTTTTCTCTCTCTGTCATAAACTATCGTTAGTTTACTAGAAATTCAGGGTGCCTAAACAGAAGGTGGCAGGAAAGTAAAAACGTAGCAAAAGATTTAATTCCCCAAGCCTGAGAGAGCTCTTTGACGGATCGTCGGATGGCAAAGATATAGCGCCATTTGTTTTGGGGCTGGGCCCTTGCCATCTGCCGTGTACCAACGGAGCTTGTCTTGGCAGCCTGCTCTAACCAGATTAGCCAAAGTCAAGCTGGCCCTGGGAATCTTTAAATCCAGAAGGTCATTCTTCACGCCGCCCACCTGGACGAGTCCTTATGTAGATAAACACGGGGAGGCAAACCGCAAGGAGAACCTGAAGGAGACGAACCTTAAAGCAAATGTGAATGCGAGGGAAAGATATGCAAGGGGTTGTAATGAAGAAGCAGCCCAACGCGGCAAGGGGGATATATATATAAAATAGGACTCTATACAACTTCCAGAATAGAGGAGGGCGACATGTCATTTCTTGGTGGCTTCCAACCCTTCCTTGAAACCTTACGGTTACTTAATTTTATAGGTAAAACTAAATTGCTGTCACCCAGTTCCCTGTTCTAAGATCCTCCTAGTCTAAAAACACCCAAACTCTAGCCAAGAGGCCTTTCACTTGATTCAACATGTCTTCTTAAGCCACATGAGGTGGAAAAAGTCCTTCTGAAGGTTGACTGTGAATAGTTGTTTTTAAACAGAGAAAAGAAGAGAACAGGGATTTGGGGAGGGGAGGAGGTAGAAAAGGAAGGGAAGAAGAGAAGAGAAGAGAAGAGAAGAGAAGAGAAGAGAAAAACTAACAAGAAACATTGGGACAGCAATGTATTTTCCATGAAGTATGTTTTATTTGCCC